TGGGGTTCTTTAAAAAGGGCGTATTAGGGTTTCTTAAATGGTGGCAAAGTGCGCGTGATATCCCTGGTCTTACAGGTGTCCATAGACTATGGTAAGTCTACCAACAAACGGACTGTATGCTTGTTTGCCATCAGTCGACAAATGTGTCTAACTACTCCATTACGGATTATAGTCGTGACATTTTTTTCAGGTGGAAGGCCTCGGCCCCGTGTTCCGTGTGGGGCTCATTATTGAGAACACATCTTCAGATAAGGCGGTGATCGGACTCTCGATACTGTTTCATGTCCACACCAGTAATTACAAGGTCTCCCACCCGTATATAAAGGTAAATTTAGTTTATATTTATTTATTGGAGTAGATAAAGATTCTTTATGTTAGTAAGTTGGGTCGCGGGTTGGCAACCGTAGTTAGGTTTTGGTGATGTTTTAAGATAGACGGTTTGGTTTGAAGCGTAGCATATGACAGTGAATTTACAGAGTACAGAGGAATAACATCTGAATCCTCAGGAACGGCAACGCATGGGCGAAATAGTATACCCTGTCACGTCTATAGGCAACGGTTACCACTTTCCATCAGGTGGGCCGTCAACTTGTTTGTCATTCTAAGTTGCATAAAAAATGGACGCTGCTGTCCATCCCTCGACCATTTAGTTACCGTAGTTCCCTCTCCAACAACATTCACGGGAAAGGAAGAGATGGCCCATTCTATTCCGGGAATACTAAACTAGGTATAAATTGTTCCTGTATTAACTTTTTAAGTCACCCAGTAAATTTGTATTCCAGGTACCACTTATATCTCCAGGGTCAAAACTGAAGTTTCCCACCAAAGTGGAGGAAGTGTTTGAAGAGAATATAAATCCTGACGTGTTCTTCCGCACTGTGACCGGGCAGGGCGGAGAGGCGGCGCTAGTCAAGGTGCTGCTGCTGAAGCATGGGAGATCGGCCCCGGTGCTCGCTGCTACGGTTCAGATGCCTCCAACCGATCCCATGATGTTACCATATGAGAAATTGCAGAGCACACAGAATTTTGAACATAATACATAATAAAAATGTTTTAAAACAAATAATTTGTTTCAATAACATATTAATTTATTTTAGAAAACCAACGTCGATTTTGGATTGTGGCACCTCTTTTTGGATCTCAGCGCCCAGTACCTTCCCTAACCCTTTCAGACCCAAGATTTTTTTTCTTTCAGATTAAATATATTTTCGTGTTTTGGAGCCAAGCCATCTTGCCGGCACGCACGAGACTACTGCACCATCTAATCGCTAAAATGGTTTCTTATTGGCTGGTTTAGAATCTCACTATCATGTTATTTCAGTTTCGTGCCTAAAAATGAATTGCGCGCGGTTTTAGAATTCTTTAAAGTTACAACTCACGCCCGTATCATTCAGGTCTGAAAGGGCTAAGGCCAATACTAGATGTAAACGTAATTCTCACTCCGCCTGGTGACAGGATGTTTATGAAATAAAATAAAGTGGCAATCCTGTCCGTGCTACCGGTATACGCTAGTGGATTAGTGATGAATGATTGGTGAGGATAAAGTCGGATCACTCCTCCCATCGAGTCGAATTCAACTGGAATTATTTAGAATTACTACCAAGTTGGACCACCTGAAGATTGACCTGGAAGTATATTGCTAGCAACAGAGCTGCAAATCTCCGTTACTAATGATCCCTTCTACCCATGAGTGTATTGCGTATATAATTCTAACATCCTGGGGGGAAATGGATTGTTAGTAATGGTGTCTAATGAACCCATTGCTAACAATACACTCTATCAGGTCGACCTCCACGTGGTTCCCTGGAAACCATCGTGAACAATTCTTGTTGAATTCATCACGATGGGCTAACTGACCTGCTTCATCTTCACCTATCATCCCTCACTGGTGCCTCGCCGGTGTATACCGATAGCGCGGGCGGGGTTACCATTCCATTATCATCCAATAAAAAAAAATTCTAACCTCTTTGTGGTCCTGTTTGGAACACATCGTTGCCAATTCTTGGCGAATTCATGATAGGCTGACTGACTACATCCTCACCTATCACCTCTGATTAGTACCCTGCCATCGTATAACGATAGCGCAGACGGGGCTACCACTCCAATTTCATCTCACTGAGACGACTTGAAGTTCAAATACATAAAAAGCATGCAAATTGAGATACTCTTTTTTTGAAGTTGGTAAAAATAATTGTCTATTGCATCGGTTGAATTAATAAATTAATTGGAACGTCATATAATTGTATTGTATCCAGATATCTGATATCATTTGTACACACCCGGACTTGCCGTTATCAGGTATCTGTACCTACATATTTATATACAATTTATATAATTACTTATTTGATAAGCTCATTATTAGTAAAGTTTTTTTTTAATGGGTGATAATGAAATGGTAACCCCTCTTGCGCTATCGGTATACATCGGCGGGGCACTAGTGAGAGATGATATGTGAGAATGAAGCAGGTCAGTTAACCCATCGTGATGAATTCAACAAGAATTATTCGCGATGGTTCCCTATGGTTGCTAGCAATGGGGTTGTTAAACTCCATTGCTAACAATCCCTTTCCCCCCAGTATACTCTGTTATGTCCATTGTACTGTTTGTGTCTATAAGTGACGGTTACCACTTTCCATCAGATGGGCCGTCAGCTTGTTAGCCTTTTTAAGTTGGATAACAAAAATGAGCAATTTGTTTGCGCATAGACAAATTGGAAGTCGTGCGTCGGACATATTGTAACCTACAGTGAATCTCGATTTATCGCAGCGTGCTATGCAGTACACTGACCTATCGTAATCAGATATATCTTGCATCAAGGTAACGTGCCACGTTGGAGTTCTGATAATGTCAAAATATCACGTCGGTACCATAGATAAGATTCTCCTGCATTGACGTGGCATTCGCTTTTCTGCATACTAGGCGTACCAACCGTTCTTAATTTTTTAGGACATCCCGGTTCAGGGGTTTAGGGAGTGTATTTTTTTTAATGGATGATAATGGAGTGGTAACCCCACCCGCGCTATCGGTATACACCGGCGGGGCACCAGTGAAAGATGATAGGTGAGGATGAAGTAGGTCAGTTAGCCCATCGTGACGAATTCAACAAGAATTGTTCACGATGGTTTCCAGGGGGAACCACGTGCAGGTCGACCTAATAAGGCATATTGCTAGCAATGGGGCTGTCAAACTCCATTGCTTACAATCCCTTTCCCCCCTCAGGGAGTGTATTTGTTTCGGATTTTTTTTATACCACAAAGATGGCAAACAAACAGCCCGTCTGTTGGTAAACGGTCACTGTAGCCTATGGATATTGTGTAATATTTTTAACTACTGCTGAATCGTTGCATATTAGCAAAGTATTATATGATCAGTGGTACTAGCTTTTTTTTCTTTTTTTTAATGGGTGATAATGTAATGGTAACCCCGCCTGCGCTATCGGGATACGCTGGCGGAGCACCAGTGAAGGATGATAGGTGCAGATGAAACAGGTCAGTTGGCCCATCGTGACGAATTCAACAAGAATTGTTCACGATGGTTTCCAGGGGGAACCACGTGGAGGTCGACCTAATAGGGAATATTGTTAGCAATGGGGCAGTCAAACTCCATTGTTAACAATCCCTTCCCCCAGTGGTACTAGCTTAAGGGTTTAATATCATTCATATCATATCCTGATATGAAAATTGATTGTTTTTTTTTTTAATTAAAAACATTAGCTGTCGATAAATGGTGTTTTATTTGTTGCTGCCACTTACTTACTTACACTTACTTAATTTTATCTTATTGAGATAAAAATATAAGTAAAGATATAATATTAACGAAAGTTAAACTTAAAGAAAGTTCCAGCAAACATACATTTACAAAATTTCGTTAATATTTGGTGAGAGGTTTCGGATATTAATGCGAACGAACATACGTGACATGGAATATTTATTTAATTATTTATTTTCCACTTTATTTTATTGTACCAGTTACAAAAATAATAAATACAGTAAATTATAATAATTAAATATTTAGATATGAAAATTTTTGTCCCTAAATGGGATAAAAGTTCGAGAAATTTCTGATTCGAAATTACTCGGTTTTTTTTTCTATACCACTGAGGTGGCAAACAAGCATACGGCCCACCTGATGGTAAGTGGTTACCGTAGCCTATGAACACCTGCAATACCAGAGGTATTACGCGCGCGTTGCCGACCCTGAAGAAACCTCTTTTTACTTTTAAAGAACCCCTGTAGTCTTTAAAGAACCCTATGTTCGTGGGAGAAAACATCTACCATCTCTGTAGGATATGAGGATTATTATATTATTATTGAGACTAGTGTTTGAGTTCGCGTGTAACACTTCAGACCTCTTGGAGATTAAGGTCAAATACGCTCAAATTTAATACATAATATTACCAATCCGACTCGGCATTGCACGGGTAAATTGAATTATCTAAAATAATATATAGCTTATGTTACTCGCTGATAATATATGAGTAGTTTTCTATGGGAGAAAGAATTTTTAAAATCGCTTTAATACCTTTCGAGTTTATGTATTACAAATAAACAGAAATTTCTTTTTTATGATGTATATATATTTTTTTTATACAACTTAGTTGACGGCCCTGATGGAAATACCGTCCCTCCATCTGTTGTCATTCCTGAGGACGCAGGTGTTATTCCTCTGTACCCAGTAAATTCATGTCATATCCCACCCTTTAAACCGAAACACAGCCATGCAAACACAACTGCTTCACGGTTGAAACACGAATGGGACAGAGGTACCCGAGCAATTAACTTTTGTACAAAGTCTCCCTCTGGTAAATTAATGGTATTTATTATATATATATAGTTTATGATATATATCATTTTGAATAGTTGTTTGCAAATTTACTGCCTATGCTACAACGGCCTTGGTCTGAAGATAAAAGATATATGCTCACGACTGTAATCTTAGACGGGTTGTTATGGATGAAGATGGAGTGGCGCATCTGACTATGATAATAGTATAAAATGCTGGAGCACTGGTGCAGGATGCATTTTTAAGATTATTTTGGGTTTTATATCTAAAAGATCATATGACTATGAAAGAAAGAAAGAAATATTTTTATTTAAGTAAACTAAAATTGAAGTATTTTTGAGTACTCATTTGGAACTCAATTTTAGCCAAGGAGAACGGGCAACTCAGCTTCTTTTTTTAAAATAGATGAATAATTTTGTATTATGTATTTGTATGAATACAAACTACTGAATAGTAATCATAAAATTTGAGATATTAGCGGATACTTGTAATTAGAATAAATAAAATAAACCATATGCAGCGACAAAGCAAATTTGCCTCTTCAGTCAACGCTCATTCACGAGTATGACGAATGAACCAACAATTATTTCTTTATTGCATTTGTAATTTACATATAATGTAATGCATTTATAAATGTTGCGAGTACGTGTTAGAGTGAGTGTTAGACTGGATTCTACTATTAATGATTTCTACTATTATTAGACAAATTTCTAAATACTTTTTTGTAAATTCATTCAAATAGACGTATCATGAATACAAATATTTGTATTGTGCGGGTATCAAACCTGTGACTATCTAAAACTAAATCATTTTGTTAAATCTCTACGTCACTACAGATACTGTATTTGCTAATCATCATCATCATTCTATTAGTCTTTTTTTCTAATGGATGATAATGGAATGGTAACCACCCTGCGCGAACGGTATACGCTGGTGAGGTACCAGTGTGGGATAATAGGTAAGAATGAAAAGGTAGGTCAGTTAGCCCATCGTGATAAATTCACTTGGAATTAGAACACCATGGTTTCCAGGGGGAACCGCGAGGAGGTCGAGCTGACAAGGTATATTGCTAGCAAGGGGGATAGTAATCTCTATTATTAATAATCCCTTTTCCTCCTTATATTAGTCGTTATTTGTCCACTATTGAACCTCCCCCATAGACTGTCATAAGAAACGGCCTCGTTCCTTATAGCAGTTTACCATTGGGTGATTTTGCCAATAGTTGCCACGCCTGGCAGGCGGATTGGCAACCGCAGTTAGGCTTTTGGTGATGTTTTACCAATTGTTTGATCA